CGGGACCGGGGCGGCGTGCGCCCAGACCGCGTCCGCGCGCGGGGCCGGAGCGCACGGGGAGGCCGGGCCGGGCGGGGCGCGGCTCGGGAGAGGCTGCGGCCAGCGGCGTGGAGCCGCTCGTTTCTGTGCCCCCGACTGGAACAACGCGGGGTCACATTCTTTTAGATTCCGGATTAAATCACAAAGATCCCCGCGGCCGCCGGGGGTAGGCAGGACCGCGGGAAGCGGCGATTTGCTCTGGGGCCGCCGTGCCCGCGCTCGGAGACGAGTGCGCGGCGGGGGTCCCCGCCCAGCCTGCTCCGAGCCCGCGACGGCCAGGACCCCGGTCCGGCCCCGCACTCCGCGCCTCGCGGTCCCGGGGTGTTTGCGCCCGGCCTGGCCGTTCCCATGGCGCGGCCGCCAGGGGAGGGACTCCGCGCTCGCCCTGCTCACCTCTCCCGCCGCATGTCGCGGGCGCCGGGGCGCAGCTCGGGCTTCAGGACCTGCTCGCCGCCGTCGCCGCCGCTCTGGAGCCTTCCATTCAAACCCGCGAGGACGCGCGCCCGCCCCTCCGCCCCCGAGCCCGGCTGGAGCGCGGAATGCGCGTGTCCTCGCGCGCTCCTGGAGCTCCCGTGGCGGCGTCGGAGGCGAGGGGTGCGTGGGGCGCCCCGCACGACTCTCCGCGGGCGGGAGGCGAGGCTTGGGGCTTCGCCTTCTAAGGAAAAGGCAACCCCCAGGGCGGAGCCGCGCCAGAGCTTCCCGCCGCCTCCCCGCTTAAGGAGGCCTGCGCGAGTTCCCGGTATGCGCTCGGGGAGGGCCGCGGGGTTGGATCTTTCCCCGTGGGGCCAGTGATCAGGACCTAGATGTGGCACCACCCGGCTCCATTTTCTTAATTGATTCGTAGCATTTCAGTCAATATTTTGGATACGTGTCCCTGGTGGACACATGGCTGTGTGTTGGAGATGGATACGTGCGTTTGCACTGTATTGAAGAGATTGCACATATTCTGTGCCGCTCTGTGGTTCACTGTTGCTTATAATGAGCGGGAGTTATTCTTTTTTTTTTCTTTTTTTATTTAAGATTTTATTGGGGAATTGGGGGAGGGAACAGCATTGGGGAATCCGGGAAGGGGAACAGACAAGATGCTGCCCTTTTGTTCTTCAGTCTAGTTGTGGAGGACGTGGCTTCACTGGCCCATGTTGGTATTATCATTGCGCTCTTCCTTGGCCAGGCAGATGGTAGCCAGCCATTGGCCTGCTGCTCAGGGCAACCCAGCTCCAGGTTGAGCTGTTGTTCACCATCTTAGCTGTAGAGGGCGCAGCCTTACTGGCCCTCATGTGGGATCCAAACCAGGGGCCTGCTGCTCAGAGCTGGCTTCCCAAGCCAACTCTTAACCAATGCGCCACTCGGCTGGCTGGAGTGGGAGTTATTCTCGATGGAGTCCAACTTACCAGTCTTCTCTTATAGTCAGTGCTTTGTCATTATGACACTCTGTGTTTTCTTTTAGAAGCAATTGTTTTAGTGTCCACGTGATGATGGGTCTCAAATTCATTCTTGTGAATGGTGTGGTAGGGGGTCAGAACTCATGTTTTCTCTCTGTGGGTATCCAGTTGACCTAGCATCCTTTATTGAAAAGACCATCATAGACGGCCCAGTGGCTGAGTTGGTTAGAGCGAGTGCTCTTAACAAGGTTGCCAGTTTGATCCCCGCATGGGCCACTTTGAGCTGCAACTTTCTTAAAAAAAACAAACCCAAAAAACAAACAAAAGACAGAAAGAAGGAAAAGTGTCATTTTCCCACTGAATTGGAGAAGACTCCCCATCCTAAATCAAGTGATGTATACGTGAGGACCTGTTCTGGATTCTTCTAGACCCCTGGTTCTACCCCTGAACCAACATAGCATAGTCAGACAACAGGGTTAACCAATTTGTCCTAATTCACACATACACAGCCAGTAGCTGCAGATTACATATTTTTTCCCTGTGCACATAGGTCGTTAACCACAACGGGCCAAATTCTGGCCCATAAAGTTGCAATACATTCCAAAGGATTGAAATCATACAAGTGTGTCCTCTCTGGATTAAAGTAAAACTCATTAACAGTAAAATTACCAGAAAGCCTCCAAGTGCTTGGAAATTAACATCACACTTGTAAATAATCAATTGGTCAAACGGTAAATCACAAGGGAAGTTGTAAAATATTTTGAAGTGAACAATAGTGAAAATATGACATATCAAACACTGCAGAATGTATGACAATTAAGTTTGTAAACTTGTTGCAATGATGTTAACCTTTTTTGATATCAGAGGGATTATTCATTATGAATTTGTACCAACTGGACAGTTAACAAAGTTTACTACTTGGAAGTGCTGAAAAGGCTGCGTGAAAAAGTTAGATGACCTGAACTTTTCACCAACAATTCATGGCTTTCGCATCACGACAATGCACCAGCTCACACAGCACTGTCTGTGAGGGAGTTTTTAGCCAGTAAACAAATAGCTGTATTGGAACACCTTCCCTACTCACCTGATCTGACCCCCAGTGACTTCTTTCTTTACCTGAAGATAAAGGAAATATTGAAAGGAAGACATTTTGATGGCATTCACAACAGCTCTGATGTCCATTCCAGAAAAAGAGTTCCAAAATTGCTTTGAAGGGTGGACTAGGCACTGGCATTGATGCATAGATTCCCAAGCTGGCATCGGTGCATAGCTTCCCAAGGAGAGTACTTCAAAGGTAATGGTAGTGATATTCGGCAATGAGGTATGTAGTTCTTTTTCTAGGATGAGTTCACAAACTTAATTGTCCGACCTCATAGGTGAAGCGGTGCTTAGAGGAAAATTTATAGCTTAAGAATAAAGGTTGAAAATTAATGCTCTATGCTCCAACCCAAGAAGCTAGAAAAAGAATAACAAATTAAAACCAAAGGTGGGGGCGGCTGGTTAGCTCGTTGGTTGGAGCCTAGTGCGTGTGACACCAGGATTGCTGTTTCTATCCCCACATGGGCCATTGAGATGCGCCCTCCACAACTAGATTGAAACAGCTACTTGACTTGGAGCTGATGGGTCCTGGAAAAACACACTGTTCTCCCCCACCCCCACCCCCCAAAAAAAACCAAAGGTGAAAGGAAATAATAAAAATAGCAGAAATTAGTGAAACAAAGCAAAAATTAGAGAAAATCAACAAAGCCAAAAGTTAGTTCTTTGAGGAGATTAATAGAGTTGATAAACCTCTAGAAATATTGGGAAGAAATACACACACACACACACACACACACACACACACACAAATTCCAATACCAGGAATGAAATTGGACATCACCACACGTACTCCAAACATTAAAAGGCTAATAAGAGGAGACTATGAACAACTTTGACAGTAAATTTGAAATTTAAATGAAATGCAATTTATGAAAACTGACACTAGAAAAAATAGAAAATCTCGATAGTCCTATACCAATTAAATAAATTTAATCTATAATTTAAAATTTTCCTACAAAGAAAATTCTAGGTTCAGATGTTTCATTGAGGAGTTCTTCTAAATAGTTGAAGAAATATCACCAACTGCACACAAACTTGTTCAAAAAGCTGAAAATGAGGGAGCATTTCCCAACTCATTTTGTGACGCCAACATAATCTTGATCCCAAAACCTGTCAAGAACATTACAAGACACTAGGAAAGCTATCAAACGTCTGCCCACCTTGGCGTCCCCACCTACAGACCAGAAAATAAGAATAGCTACTGCCTGTGGTTGTTGAGAGGGCCGAATTAGTTAATCCATGTAAAAAATTACTTGTCGTGTAGCAAGTGCTCAGTAATTGTCAGGTGTTTTTGCAGAAAAACTACAGGACCCTAAAATGTGAGCGTGCGTTTAATGTTCTCTTTAAGGCAGAACCTGGCAACCAAGACAGCATGTGCCTCTGGCGTTTCTGAAGAGCACTCACTCAGGTTTGGGGGTCCCTGTGTTTTATAGATAAGAATATGGAAACACTGCTGGACTGGGCGTAGCCAGGTTGTGAGCTGGAGTCTGACCCCAGCATCCCTGGAATGGACCTCTGCCTGGCAGGGGAAGGATCTGTGCCTGTGGACGGACCCCTGTGACCTTCCCCCCCAACAGTGGCAAGTGTGGCCTCAGGCAACTTCTGGCCCCACTCCCAGCCTGAGTTTCCTCCGATATGAAATGAGATCTGGCTCTGTGCGTCCTGTCTCCTGGGGAGGGCGGGTGGGTTTAGAAAGACCTCTCGGGCTCTGACGTGGAAGTGATGAATCAGTGGGCATAACTGGTACTAGCACAACCCCTTCAGTCCAGGAGCTGCCATGCCCAAAAGCAGCCGGCATCTTCCTGGACATTGGAGATCAGGGCAAGGCCGTGTCTCAGGATTCTTCAGTACAGAACTGCTTCTGGCCCAAACAGCTACAAGGAGCTTAAACCCACCCGGAGCACCCAGACCACAGCCCTTATCCAGACCAAAACCCGGTCTGCCGGAGTTGTCGTCCTGCCCCCTGAGGCCTGCAGGAGGCTGCCCCATGCCCAGCTCCCCAAGGTGCTCTGACTTTCCTCCAGTCACCCTGGGCCCTGATTTTCAGCCTCTGTAGAATTGTTGCTCTCCACTCTTACCTGGCACCTGAGCCCTCTGCCCGGTGTTGACTCAGCGTGGCACCTGGTCCCTTCCGGGCCTTCCGAGTGCCCAGAGCCCTGCTGGCTGGAGCATAGAGAGACTTGTTGAATCATGGGACTAAAATGTCCGGGGAGAGGCCCACTGGTTTCAGGCATGGCTAGATCCAGGAGTCTCTTTCCGTCTGTGAGTCTGTCTGAGCTCCTTCGTGATGGCTTTGCTTTCAGGCAGGTTGTCCCCAGTGATTGTAGACTAAGGCCTACAGCTTTCTGTCTACACCCCACAAACTCAGCCTTTTTAAGTTGAAAAAAGCCAGTCTTTCCAGGTAGCTCCTGGGGGTGCCCTGGGGCTGGCAGCTTCTGTCATGGGTCATAGCTGAACCAGCTGTAACTGGAAATAGGGAAAATGTCTTGTTGTCAGGTCTGGTCACATACCTGGCCCTGGGTGGGGGACAGGGGCCTGTCAGTGCCACCAAACAGCATGAATGAGGGTGGGGCTCATGAGCCCCTTTAGGAGGTGACAGAAGGATCCTGGCTTTCCATAAAAACCTGCTCAGGGCTGTTGTGTGGGTCACAGTTTGGGAGGCAGAGGGGCCCATAACCCAGTGACGCCAGATTTGGAAGATGAGTGGCAACACCTACCTCAGACATGGTCGAGGGGTCCCTGCCTGGTCCCCCCTACAGCCATTCAATGGGACAGGCATACACAGGATGGTGTCCCCTTCCCAAGAGCAAATGCACAGGCCCCCGGAACACCCTAATGACACTGCAGCCACCCCAGAGCCTGTGCCGGCCTCTTCCTGAGCCTGGCCCTGGAGGGAACTGGGTGGCCAGAGTGTGCAGGGGCGTGGGCGGGGGTGGACGGGAGTGGGCGGGTGGGGCTGGCTGTGCGGGACTCAGTGAGGCCTTTGGTGTGCAGGGCTTGCTGTGGGTGGAGGAGAAGGTTGGGGTGAGGTTCTGGGCGGGAGTCTGGGCCTCCAGGGCATTACGCATCCAGGTAGTCCAGGGCAAGCCCGCAGGTTTCACGGGGCGCTGTGCAGGCTGGGGACACGATGCCCGCGCACAGGCGCCCTTGAGTAGGTGGGCCTTCACCACAGCCTCTTTCTCCTTTCAAAATTCACCATAAGAGCAGCTTCTGACTCCTCTGCTGCTGGCACCCCTGT